AAATTCACCTTCTTGTGGTCCTCAGTATGTGGTGTTAAAAATCAACCTATTGTTTTTTTAAAAAGCCCTACTCTCATTGAGGCAGAGGAAAAAAACAGAATTCTTTCCTTCCCTCTGATCTGAGTGATTAAACATAGCTTTTAAATATCCTCAAAATCTACATGCCAGGCTCCAACTGCTTGTTGAGATGTGATATTAGTGAGTAATTTCTTGTTTTAATACATTCTACATAATACAACTCTAAAGTGTAACCACACATAAAGGGCTAATAAATTAACTTTTTTTTGTATCAAAGAAATGGACATCCAGGGAGAAATCTTTTCTAGGGATATTAAATGTTTGATTTAATGCCATTTGAAACAGGCAAAGTAAGAAAGCGTAGAAACAGGAGTTAAATGCTTTGCACAGCAAGGTTTACAAGGTAATGAAAGATTGTCAGTATGCAGCATAGAAAAAATGTAGCTAGCAGATAGAGCATTTTCATCCCTGTAGATCTGGGCCATTTCACAGCTTAAAATTCCCAAAGTGCTGCTTCTATTTTTTAAATGCATTTCCTAGTGCAAAAAGTATGCTAAAAATATCACAGATTAAGTGCATGTAAATTTAGATTTCTCTATGTATCCAAATTATTTTGAATGTGGATTTTAGAAAAAGAGCATCTTAAAATTTGCTGGGTTTAATTTTTCTTGTATCAATTTTTCAAATGTTCAAGAACCATCCAAAGCTCATCTCTACATCCGTGGGAGTGCAGAAGTGTTAGGTTAATAGATTCCTAGATTCCAAGGCAAGACCTTTTGTGATCATCTAGTTTGTCTGATAGTCTGTATAACACAGGCCAGAGAACTTCCCCAAAATAATTCCTAGAGCCAGGCAGGCTATATTTGTCTGAAAGTCTCCCTGTGTTTATGGTATACAGGACTATGTGCGTGAATACTATGATAATGAATCAGAAACTTATAAGTGTGATTTTTTTTTTAATTACAATTTTCTGGGTTAAAGTCTATGAGGCCTCAGCACTCCATTCTGTTTAACTGAATCTAGCCTTGTGATAATCTCCTGTTATGGGTCAGTACCTACACTAACTGTTGTTTTAGGGTACGTCTACACTATGGAGGAAGGTAAAAGCTGCTGTCGTCAATCTTCCAGGGTTCAAATTAGTGGTCTAGTTAAGACTGCTAATTCAAAGAGAGAGGGGCATTCTGGTCAATTCCGGCAACCCTGCTTTCACGAGACATAAGGGAAGTTGAAGGAAGAGTGTTCTTTCGACTTCCTGCTGTGTAGACAGCGCCTAAACCCGAGTTAAGCTATTTCCACTTAAGCTACACAATTAATGTAGCTGAAGTTGTGTATCTTAATTCGACTTTGTCCTATAGTGTAGACATACCCTTAGGGTACATCTACACAGCAGCATTATTTCAGAATAACTGACGTTATTCAGAAATAACAAAGAGCACATCTATACTACAAGCCTTTATTTCGGAATAATGTTGAGCTGGAGGACTTCTTACTCCAACTCATGTATCTCTCATTTTATAAGGAGTAAGGGAAGTCAAAGGAAGAGTGTTCTTCCTTCGACTTCCTGCTGTGTAGGCATTGCCTAAAACTGAGTTAAGCTATTTCAACTTAAGCTACACAATTGATGTAGTTGAAGTTGCATAGCTTAATTCGACTTTAGCCCTGCTGTATAGACATACCTTTAGGGTTCAGTGGTAGCTTCTTCTCCATCCCAAGATATCACTTCTGTGGTTCCCCAGAAGGCTTAATTTCTTTGGCCTTTGCTCTTTCATCTTCACCCTTTCCCTTTCTGCCATTTACTATTTGCCTTTACACTCATCTTTACTTCAGTGACAGCCAAGAAATCCCTGGATACTTAAGTGACTCCTTTTCTCAACCTAACTTTGGTCAAGTAAGCTTGTAGCTTTGACTTCAACAGTCAGCCAAATAAACTCACATGGCAAAGTGGATGAGTGAACAGGAGAAGTGCTGCCAAAATCAACCCTAGCTCCAGATCTCCTGTTTACATCCACTAAGTGACACTGATTCTAGCCATGTAAAACCAATGTATCCAAGTTGTATGTGTGTGGAGGCAGAGCAGCTGGGGAGATGGAATCTACCATTAATACAGCTTAGGGCTAGGGCACAGACCTGCAGGGCATCCCTTCCATTCCCTTCCCAACCTTTGAGAGCTGCAGTTCCAGCCTAAGGGAATTTGACCCATTTGTCTCACCACGTCTAGCAAACAGAGGGTTCTGTTCCATGGAGCAAAGTCACAAACATAGTCTGGGCTTAGGTAGCCCTGACTAGCCAACTCCTATGGCTACGCACCCTGTTGCTTGCTCTCAAACCCGCTGCAGGTCACAGAGACTGAAAAGAGGGCACAGATTTGTTTGGCTCTCAGTTTCTTCAAATTTGCCTATGATGGGTGTTTACCCCACACTAGCCACGGGGGTGATGAGGCTGAGAAGGGGCCAATTGATCAGAAAAGCCACAGCTGAGAGGAAATAGGTATCCTGTAAATCCTGAATGATGATGGAACCCAGCTGAGAAGAAACAGGAATGGCGAGCATAAAGCTAGGAATCTGGCAGTAGCAGGAGGCTACAGTGAGAGCTTTGGACATTAGAGAAGAAAGGAAGGAAATACTGGGGCAGAATATGTATGAAAAGTCTGAGAGAAATGGCAACAAGGTTTAGATGGTGCAGAAGGGTGCTGCTGATTAGAGGGTCCCAGAGATGGAACAAGGGGTAGTAGGTGGGCACAGGTTCCCCTACCAGCCACTAGGTTACTGCCACAGCCTTGGTAGTGAGGAAGAAGACCGCCATTTTTCGAGGAATAGACTTTGATAACGAGCTGGCTAGGGCCACCCATGAAGACAGAGCAATGTGGATCACAGAGAGAGAGAGAAGGGGGTGAAGCATGATGCCCAAGCGAGTGACAGAAGCGGGTTTTGGCTCTGGAAGGAACTCCTCCTCAGATCAGCCAGAAGGCAGTACCCTGGCGGCGACAGTGTCCATCGTCCACATACAACTTATATAAAAACCCAGCATGCTCCAAGTATCAATTTTAATAAATAAAATCTCTGCCACTGAATCCGAATGAATAGGATATTAATTTCATCTGCTCCCATTCCTAGAGAATGGCTCAGGAGAACACATAGCGATGCTACTATGCCCAGAATACTTGGGTTCTGTCAGACCACAGAATCAGTGGTGAATTCCACACTGAAAGGCCCTTCACTGAAATCTAAAGATTAAAATCTGGCAGCTATGAACTCAAGCACATTAAACATTTCTTTCTTCATGGCAAAACATTTGGACAGCGAGAGAGGGGAGGGCTTTAGGTATTCTGGACCCTAGCCAGGTAGGGTTTCATTAATGAGGCCAAGAGTTTGAACTGGAACCAGAAGTGAAAAAAACCCCAACACGAGAGAAGTGATATGTGTCCTCTTTGACCTATCAATACCTTTAGGCAGATACATTCCCACATTCTGTATCTCATGTAGATTTCAAGTGATCTTCAGCCATCACCTTTTATATGGCAGACTGTTGTTGTCTACTATGAAAATGAATAAGACATGGGTATCAACAGCAAGATTTGCATTGAAAAGAAATATTCACTATTATCTAACCCAGTGCAGATTTAAAAAAAAAAACCTCTTTACTCTATCAACTGGGAAGGAATCCAAGAACTACATACATTTCCAGTTCTCTGTTGGAGATCCACTGTTGGTAGGTTAACAGGCACCACCTATGCAACCCATTTCTCTGAGCTTCATGCCTTGAAAGCAAACAGCTTTATGCAGAGTGGCAGGGAACACCTCACAATAGCAGCTGTGCCATGTGTGGATGACTGTAGAGGCACATTTGTCCAATTTGATGTGTATCTTATACAAACAGGTAGAAATTGTGGCCAATGGACCTTCAAAGTCTATCTCATGCATGGCACAGACCCAGCTGTATGTTGACCAATCTGGTTCATGCTCCAGGACAGTAGTATGATGCGTTTTTCTGCAGTGCAATATGAGAAGTTGACCTGGGCACCACTTTACCATTCTACTGCATGACTTACGGATAAGGCATTCCCCTGCGAAGGGAGATAGGACATTGCTGAGAGTGGAATCTGCACATGATATGCTGGAAACTCTGTTTCCACTTAGCCAAACTAAACATACCATAGGAAGTCCAGAATTATTGGGTGATATGTGAATAACACGTGCAACTATCTGTTTTTTTGTGAAGAATTATGAGAGTGGCTTTTGCCTTATCTTTCTTCTATGTTAAACCCATTTCTCTGGGTCAGGACAAGATCTTGAATGTTAATTGTCCTCTTGGAGGGGAAAAATGTAAAGGCATTCTTTACCGAGCACATATTTTATCTTTAGCAGACTAGAAAACTGGTGTTATGTCTAAGAAATGTACTGGACCACACAGAGAGCATGAACATAGTCCTAGAAGATGATAAAATTATCCTATATTGCAATAGACCTCTGGTAACTTGTTCTGAAAACAGAAATACTGTAAATACAGATGCTGTTTGCTAGTAAATATTTTCTTCTTCAAACATTTACTACTAATACTTCTTTTTTTAAAAATGGAAAAGTTGGAGTCCCACTAACATTTTCCATTGGGGTATTGAATTAATAGTAACGGTAATGTGTGCATTTTGGGGCATATTGTGTCTGATTCCAGTATAGAGTTTTTCATCAAGGAATGTCTGTGCTGACAAATCCACAAGCTGTGGGGAAGGCTTTCCAGTCCAACTGCTTCCTAGGTAAACAAAACAAAAGGAAAAACTAAGTAGCACTTTAAAGACTAACAAGATGGTTTAATAGGTGATGAGCTTTCGTGGGCCAGACCCACTTCCTCAGATCATATATGGAAGTGGGTCTGGCCCACGAAAGCTCATCACCTATTAAACCATCTTGTTAGTCTTTAAAATGCTACTTAGTTTTTCCTTTTGTTTTAGCAAGATCAGACTAACACGGCTACCTCTCTATTACTAGGCAAACAAAATCAGTGACAGTGTCCTGTCCTCTTCTACAGCATGAGCTTGATCCTCACGCACTGGCATCAAAACTCCATAGACTTCAAATCTGCAGGGTCTTGGCCTTCTACCCCCAGCATTGAGACTACAGAATACCAAGTAAAGGCAAGCACCCTATCACGTGAGTTAAATTCATATGAGGATAGGTTAGTTGAACTAAAATGTGGTAGATTGTGTGTATGTGCGAAATTCACTCCTCCACAAAGTGCAAGAACAAGACTATGCACCGATCTAAGAAAATGTGGGGTTTTTTTTGTTTTTTGTTTTTTCAAGAACCGCTCCTCTCCGCAACACCTTATACTGGAAAGTTTTCAAGTAAACTCAGACGCACTCAAAAGTCTACTTTTTCCCTGGATACTTTCCTTCTACCATTAGCCAATCAAATATAGTGTGCAGTCTTAATTGGCTCCTGAAATCCTGCCTGTTGGCAAGAAGAGTTGCAAAGTGGTTTGAGCATTTTCCTCCTAAACCTGAGGTTGTGAGTTCAATCCTTGTGGAGGCCATTAGGGCAAAAATTTGTCAGGGATGGTACTTGGTCCTGCTATGAAGACAAGGGACTGGACTTGACCCCCTATACCATGTGTAGTCTGATTCTCTGGAGTGGGAAGGGCAGCATTTAGTCTTTGCAGGAACCCTTGAGCGTGCGTGTGTGTGTGTTTTTTTTTCCTTTAGCCTACCTCAGTCCACTGAATATTTGGTTAAAAGTATTATTTTTGGGGTTCTCAGGTGGTGATTTCCTTGCTTTAATCTCTAGCCATCTGGAGGTGCTTGTTTGTAATAGATCATTTCCAGGTAAATCTTGTTAAGCTTGAATAACTAACTACTGTGACATCCTCTGTTGGAGAGGAATTAAAATAACTCATTTGCATTTGTTTAGACACAATTTTATTTAAACTAGGAGAGAGAATGTTAGCCTTTCAGTTTGGATAATAATCCTTTAAGACAAGCGGTGCTGTAGTCAGCCACCAATACTGGATTTTAAGTATTATTTATTCTGATACAATCAGCTTTGTTTTAAAATTTCACTTATTTGTATAGAGTGCTTGGATCTGCAAAATATTCTCAGCTGTAAAACTGAAGCTAAAAGCATTCTGCATGGAAGCTTCAAATACCAGCTAAGTATTATAGCAGGATAGTCTGACCTTGTGTAAAATCAGGGCCTACCTTTAGAAAAGAACTGCTAACTTTCCCACCCTTCTAGCAAAAGAAATGTCCATCAAAAAGGCCAAACCACTGGCAAACTTTTATACGTTTTAATTTTAAAGCAATTTTTAGTAGCTGGACTCTACAGTGCTATAAAATAATTAAGGTTTATGGCACTGATGTTGTTGCAGCCATGTTTAACAGATTGGGAAGGAGCCTCCACCTCAGTTTCCCTAAAGTCTCCCAGTGCAAATCAGTGGGAGAGGAAGGAAAAGAATCTATGGTTCTATATTCTAATTTCTGTGCTCTAGCTACTAGTCATATTTTCTTTTATAAAGGACATGGAGTCCAGCACAGCATAATTGTAATGTCATGTTTTGGTCTTTCCACTTACATAGAAATAATTTCACTTATGGTTGTTTAACTTCATGCTCTTAAGTTGGAACATACTTGTGTATGTATTGCAGTAAGTTATACCAAATACTTAGAGCTTGGAGATTATACGGTATGTTTATTGTGGCAATATCTTCGTGTGTAATTAAACTTCTAATGTGTAACTCTTTCTCTCTGAATTCTCCTGAGGACTATTTTTTTGCTATAGTACTTACAACAAACTTCTTAAGTAAGGACTCAGATCTCACCCGTATCTCAGTTCCATTCAATACATAAGAGAGTTAGGGGAGCTATCAGAAGCTGGTTATATCTCCTTGATTTTGTGCTCGTCTGACCGAGAGCCTCACAGGCTAGATTGGGGCAGGCCATGGCCAGATCTAGCCCATGGGCTCCTCTTGGGGGGAGGAGGAAGTGGGTCTGCATGCTGTCATTCCACCCCCCTCCCTGATTGGGGAAATCATAGAATCATAGGACTGGAAGGGACCTCGAGAGGTCATCGAGTCCAGCCCCCCGCCCTCAAGGCAGGACCAAGCTCTGTCTACACCATCCCTGACAGATGTCTATCTAACCTGTTCTTAAATATCTCCAGAGAGGGAGATTCCACCACCTCCCTTGGCAATTTATTCCAATATTTGACCACCCTGACAGTTAGGAATGTTTTCCTAATGTCCAATCTAAACCTCCCCTGCTGCACTTTAAGCCCATTACTCCATGTCCTGTCCTCAGAAACCAAGAGGAACAAATTTTCGCCTTCCTCCTTGTGACACCCTTTTAGATATTTGAAAACCACTATCATGTCCCCCCTTAATCTTCTTTTTTCCAAACTAAACAAGCCCAGTTCATGAAGCCTGGCTTCATAGGTCATGCTCTCTAGACCTTTAATCATTCTTGTCACTCTTCTCTGTACCCTTTCCAATTTCTCCACATCTTTCTTGAAATGTGGCGCCCAGAACTGGACACAGTACTCCAGCTGAGGCCTAACTAGTGCAGAATAGAGCGGCAGAATGACTTCACGAGTTTTGCTTACAACACACCTGTTGATACAACCTAGAATCATATTTGCTTTTTTGGCAACAGCATCACACTGTTGACTCATATTCAACTTGTGGTCCACTATGACCCCTAGATCCCTTTCCGCCATGCTCCTTCCTAGACAGTCGCTTCCCATCTTGTATGTATGGAACTGATTGTTCCTTCCTAAGTGGAGCACTCTGCATTTCTCCTTATTAAACCTCATCCTGTTTACCTCCGACCATTTCTCTAACTTGCTAAGGTCATTTTGAATTATGTCCCTATCCTCCAAAGAAGTTGCAACCCCACCCAGTTTGGTATCATCTGCAAACTTAATAAGAGTACTCTCTATCCCAATATCTACATCATTGATGAAGATATTGAACAGTACGGGTCCCAAAACAGACCCTTGAGGAACTCCACTTGTTATCCCTTTCCAGCAGGATTTAGAACCGTTAACAACAACTCTCTGACTACGGTTATCCAGCCAATTATGCACCCACCTTATCGTGGCCCTATCTAAGTTATATTTGCCTAGTTTATCAATAAGAATATCATGCGAGACCGTATCAAATGCCTTACTAAAGTCTAGGTATATGACATCCACCGCTTCTCCCTTATCCACAAGGCTCGTTATCTTATCAAAGAAAGCTATCAGATTAGTTTGGCATGACTTGTTCTTCACAAACCCATGCTGGCTATTCCCTATCACTTTATTACCTTCCAAGTGTTTGCATATGATTTCCTTAATTACCTGCTCCATTATCTTCCCTGGGACAGACGTTAAACTGACCGGTCTATAATTTCCTGGGTTGTTCTTATTCCCCTTTTTATAGATGGGCACAATATTTGCCCTTTTCCAGTCTTCTGGAATCTCCCCTGTCTGCCATGATTTTTCAAAGATCATAGCTAAAGGCTCAGATACCTCCTCTATCAGCTCCTTGAGTATCCTGGGATGCATTTCATCAGGACCTGGTGACTTGCTGACATCTAACTTTCCTAAGTGATTTTTAACTTGTTCTTTGTGTATCCTATCTTCTAAACTTACCCTCTCTCTGCTTGTATTCACTACGTTAGGCACACCTCCAGACTTCTCGGTGAAGACCGAAACAAAGAAGTCATTGAGCATCTCCGCCATTTCCAAGTTCCCTGTTACTGCTTCTCCCTCCTCACTAAGCAGTGGGCCTACCCTGTCCTTGGTCTTCCTCTTGCTTTTAATGTATTTATAAAAGGTCTTCTTGTTTCCCTTTATGCCTGTAGCTAGTTTGATCTCATTTTGTGCCTTTGCCTTTCTAATCTTGCCCCTGCATTCCCGTGTTGCTTGCCTATATTCATCCTTTGTTATGTGTCCTAGTTTCCATTTTTTATAGGATTCCTTTTTTATTTTGAGATCACGCAAGATCTCCTTGTTAAACCAAGCTGGTTTAAATGGCAGCACAGGGAACCACTTCCCTGGAGGCTTTCCTCCTTGTCTCCACTGCTCCCATTGGCTGCAATTCTGGCCAATGAAAGCAGTGGAGGGCGGTAGAGGGTGGTGTCTGGGAGCAGTGTGGGGCACAGAGCCATGTGTATCCCCAAGGAGCTGCACAGGGAAGCACCCGCTATTGCCCTCATGCACCCCACCTCATGCTCAGTCACCACACCAACAACTGGCTCCTGTACCCTCCCTCCTATCCTGATCCCTCACCCTCAGCTTGCTCCTGCACCCTACCTCCTGCCCAGATCCTGCATCCCCACCCCTCAGCTCCATTCTGCACCCTAGCTTCTGCCCAGAGCCCACACAACCATACTCAGTCCATTAAAGCACCCTCCCTCCCACACACTGAACACCTCTTTTTGGCCCCATCCTAGAGGTTTTTTTTGCGGGTGGGCACAAAATCTACTAGCTATGGGTCCCCAGAAGAGTTAATCTGGCCTGTGAGAAGCCCTGAACATTGGTCCTCCCTCCATGGACTAAAGCCCAAAGGGACTGGGGTGTCTCACTCAGGGGCCACTTCAGTGGGGGGTGGGTTTTTTCTTCTTACTTCTGTTTGGACCCTGACTGTTTTTTCTGTTGGTCATTGGCCCCTGGCCCAAAAAAAGTTTCCTCGCCTTTGATCTGCATAATTCCTTACAGGTGTTTGTCTAACCTGCTCTGAAAAATATCAAACAATAGTGATTCCACAACACCCACAGACAATTTATTCCAGTGCATAAAAACCTGGACAGTTAGGAAGTTTTTCCTGATGTCCAGCCTAAACCTCCCTTGCTGCAATTTAAGCCCATTGCTTCTTGTCCTATCTTCAGAGGTTAAGAAGAACAATTTTTCTCCCTATTTCTTGTGATAACCTTTTATGTAAGTGAAGACTGTTATCATGTCCCCTGTCAGCCTTCTCTTCTCCAGACTAAACAAACTCTTTTTTTTTCAGTCTTGCCTCACAGGTAATGATTATTTCTAGTCCCTTAATCATTTTTGTTTTCCTTTACTGTCCTCTGCTCCTCCACCTCCTCATTCTGTCAAGTCCAAAAATAGTTCATAAGATCATTGGAGTAGTGATATTATCTTCTATTTGTTTTGCAATTTGACTAACCTCA